TCAGAGCTGGGAGGACATTAGAACAGGGAATGTCAGAGCTGGGAGGGGCTTAGAACAGGGAAGGTCAGAGCTGGGAGGGGCTTAGAACAGGGAATGTCAGAGCTGGGAGGGGCTTAGAACAGGGAATGTCAGAGCTGGGAGGGGCTTAGAACAGGGATGTCAGACCCAGACTGGCTCTTAGAACTTGAATTTTCAGAGCCAGGAGGGCCCTTCAAACATGGAATGTCAGAGGAATGAGGAACTTTACAACATGGAATGTCATACCTAGGAACACAGAATGTCTGAGCTGGGATGGCTCTGAGAACAGAGAATGTTAGAATTTAGAATGTGAATGCCATAAAAGACTTCAGGACACAGAACGCCAAAGCTGGGAAGGTCCTGAAAACATGGACCATTGGAGCTGGATGAGACTGGAATGATTTTCTAGTCCAGTCCCCCCCAATTTTACAAAAGAGGCCACTGAGGCCCAGAGATGGGCGACTTGGCCAAAGTCACCCAGCAAGTTTGTTCTAGAACTACCCCAGACCCAAAATGCAGAATCACAAGCTCATAGTCCCCACAGCTGGAAGTCCTAAATCTTGGATTTTCTATTTCTTTGGAGGAAAGATCACTGGCTGTAAAGTCAGAGGATCAGGATTCAAATCCTGCCTCTGACATTTGTCTGCTGTGTGTCCCTGAACAAGTTACTTCCCCTCTCTGAGTCTCATTTCATCATCTGAAAAATCAGAGGCTGGAGCAGGTGGCCTATAGAACTATGATCTTATTATTCCATGTCACTTCACTTTGCTGGGACTCAGTTTCCTCATCTGTAAAATGAGGCAACTGGCCTAGAAGGCCTCTGAGGTCGTTCCAAGCCCCAGAGCTCTGATCTATGCTCCTAAGATTAAGTCCAAGCCCCTTACGGACTCTGAGCCCTGGAGAAGGGCAGTGACTTGCCCAAGGTCACCTGTTGAGCTCGTACACAGAGCTGCCACTGGATGCCCATGTAACCTGTGCCAGGCTATCTGACCTCTCTGGGAATCATTTTTCCTTTCTGTGAGATGGGGAGAAAAATGTTCCTTGTCCATTCTCCCTCTAACCAAAGTTACATGGGGCTAGGGGCCAGGAATCGCAGCTCTCATCCTGGCCATGTGTGCATTTCCCGTGAGAACGTAATGATTGGTCTTCGATGGAAAGGAGAAGGTTATTGGGAATGTCTCCCAGGACTTTATAAAAACCAGGTTTCCCATATGGAGTGCCAGGCTTACTCATTGTAGCTGATTTTGAAGTCAGCCCAGGAAGATGAGTCAAAACACTGAGGCCGTCCATGTCCAGCTGCCATTTTGAATGCTCTTTTGGCTGACCCAATCAAATCCATCAGTGAAGATGTATAGGGTCGCAGGTCTGGAAGAGACCTTGGACAGCTGGGCCAACTCTAACCCATTTTATAAAGGAGAAGAGTGAGAACTAGGCAGGGGAGGTTCAGACTTGCCCAGTCGCTTGAGGAGGTAGTTTGTCACATGGAAATAGGATCTAAAATGGAAAATTAATCCAACCCCTCATTTTAAAATAGGGAAACTGAGACTCAGAGTGGTAGAATGACCTGGTCAAGGTCACACAGGTGGCCAGTCATTGGTAAATCATGTGCTGGAAGAGACTTTAGATCAGGGGTGGGGAACCTGGGGCCTTGAGGTCACATGTGGCCTTCTAGGTCCTTGAGTGAGGCCTTTTGACTGAGTCCAAGTTTTACAGAACAAATCCTTTTTATTAAGGGGATTTTGTTCTGTGAAGTTTGGATTCAGTCAAAGGGCTGCATTTGAGGACCCAGAGGGCCACGTGTGGCCTCAAGGCCGCAGGTTCCCCACCCCTGTCTTAGATATCTACTCCTTAGGTCATAGAATCTATTATCAAATGGGACCCCAAGAGTCTTCGTGTGTGTGTTCTGGGCCCCTCTAGAATCTGTGAAGTGAATGGAGCCCTTCTCAAAATAATGTTCTTAAATGTATAATAAAATGAAATATATAATATTGCAAGGGAAGCCAGTTATACTGAAATATCATTATCAAAATATTTTTTTAAAAGTTCAAAGATTCCAGGTGAATAACACCTAATCTGGTCCAAACCTTTCATTTTCCTGATGAGAAAACTGAGACAGAGAAAATCAGTGGGGCTTGGTCAAAGTCATATAAGCCAGTAAACAGCAGAGCCATTGGGCCATTTGCCTTCAGGTCTCCTGATTGCGAAGGGAACACAAAGAGGAAGGAAAAAGTATTTATGTAGAGCCAGGCACTGTGCTAACAGCTTTTTGCTTAATACTCATTTGATACTTACAACACCCCATAAGATAGGTGCTATTATTACCCTCATTTTACAGAAGCTAGCAGAGGTTAAGTGACTTCCCCAAGGCCCTACACCTAGTAAGAGTGGTAGGCCTAATTTGAACTCAGGTCTTCCTGACTTCAGGCCCAATGCTCTATCCCGCTATACCACACTGACTTCTATCACAAGCCCAGCAATTCCTGAGGAGGCAATGTAATTCGGTTAAAATAATACTGAGTCTGAAGTCAGAGAACTTAGATTCAAATCTTACCTCTGATGCTTATCACCTGAATGATGTTGGACAAGGTACTTAACCTCCATGGGTCTCAGTTTCCTCATACAGAAAATGAGAGGAAAAAAAATAAAAAATTTAAAAAAAAGAAAAAGAAAATGGGAGAGTTGGACTGCCTGACCTTTTAAGTCCTTTCTGGGTGCCCCATATTCGATCGTATTTGCCTTTACTAAGCAGTGGATGGCGCCACCTCAGGCCAATAATCTGGGTGTGGTATGGATTGATTAACAACCTTTCTTTTTTCTTACTCTCTTCTAGCTGGTCATGCAGTATCTTTACTACGGCGGTCCAGAGTCACTTCTTATTAAGAACAATGAAATAATGGAGGTTTGTGAAGTTTCACCTGGGATTTCTGTAAGCCTGGGTTGCCACTGGGACATATTTTGCTCCCGAGAAGGAGAGACCACAGTACTGCCTTAGGAAGACAAACATCGGTATCAGGGGTAGAGAAGCAGGAACATAGCTCAGACTCAGGAAGACCAGTTTGGGGGCGGTTCCACTGAGCTAATTGATGTGAGATTCCAGTAACAGAGGAGATGTGACAAGCAGTAACTTCCTGGTGCTACTGACAAATAGGAGCTCCCCTGGTTGGGAAGGATGGATGATTTTAGTCATTCTTTCAACAAATACCTGTTTGGTTCAAGGCACTGGATTAAGTGCTCTGGAATATACAGAGATATATAAGATATGATCCTTGTCATCAGTCAATTAGTAAGCACTTATTAAGTGCCTGGAGTATACCAGGCATTCTACAGCTGGGTGGTGAGCATCAAAAGACAAAAGTAAAACCGTTCTCACCCTCGAGGTGTTACATTCGATTAGAGGAAACAACATGCTTGTTTAAGTACGTAAAAATAAATGCAAGATCATTTTGGGGGGAAGGTAAGGAGCTTATAATTGTGGGGCGACCTCTCTTAAGAGAATGACTAGGTTCCCACGTGGGCTCCAGAGACATTTGGAGAACGCTTCCTCCCATACACCCTTAAATATATACACACATGTATATATGTGTGTATATATGTATGTGTGTGCATATCTATGTATATATGCATAGATATACACATGTATAGGCATATATATATACGTGTGCATACATATGTGCATTGTGCACATGTGCATGTATGCATGTGGCAGTCAGATGGCCCAGTGTATGTATATGCATATGCATATGCATATGCATATGTATATGTATATGTATATGTATATGTATATGTATATGTATATGTATATGTATATGTATATGTATATGTATCTGTTGGGGGATACAGGAAGAAACCTTCTTCCAATGTGTGTCTCTCTGGAACCCATGTAAGAACATAGATGTTCTCTTAAGACAGGTTTCCCCCCACATGTATGTATATATGTATTTATGTATACATACGTGCATATGTATATTATATATTACCTAAATATATACAACACTTCAGCTGTATATTTTATATATATATAATCTACTTATCCACATAGACACACAAACACACACGCACAAACACACACATGCACACGCATACTATACATGTGTGTGTATGTGGATAGCTAGATAGACAGATAGATAGACAGGCAGATAGTACAGCAGGGGTGTCAGACTCATGGCTGTGACCGGCAAAACTCCCAAGTGGAGCTTGAACCAGACGAAAATGTCATTGAGAAATGTTTAACAAAATAAATAAAAACATAATCCAACATAGATGATGCTCATTTGTGTTTTTCTAAGTGAATGTGCAGCCCACAGGGGTCCGCGTCTTTCTGAGTTTGACCTCACTGGTGTACAGAAATAGCCAGAATATAAGCCAGTGTGTGAAAAGCACAAATCAATAAGAGAAGTTCAAAAGAGGAGGACATGAGTGCATCCTGGTGGTTCAAGGCAGGCTTCATGGAGGAGTGAGCCTTTGAACTGGGTGGAATGTCAAGATTAAGGGATTCGGACTTTGGTTGGTAGACAGCAGGGGCCATTGAAGGTTTCTGAGTACTGGAATGAGAAGATCAAAGCATTTCGTTGGTGATGTTTTTAGGATGAATTAGAGGGGAGAGGAAGAAAGGAGGCGGGTAGACCCATCAGGAGGCTATGGAAACAGTTGAAGTGGGAGCTGGTAAGAGCCTGGACTAGGATGGTAGCTAGAAGAGAAGGGAGGAAATGGGTGCTTCGAGGAAAGACTCAACAGATGGGGCTGATTAGGTGTGAGCCGTGAGGGAGAGAGAGGAATCAGAGGTGACACAGGTTTGAGAGTCAGTCCCATTCAAGGCAGCATGACTGACAGCCTCGCTTTGCATGTGTTGTTTTTTTTTTTTATTTTAGCTCCTGTCTGCCGCCAAGTTTTTCCAGCTCGAAGCTTTGCAGAGGCATTGTGAGATCATCTGTGCGAAAGGGATCAACACAGACAACTGTGTGGATATATACAACCATGCCAAGGTAATGCCCACAGCCCCTTTCCCAGGGGCAAAGATCATGGACAAAGGAGGAGTCTGGTTTGTGCAAACACACTGGCACTATGTCTGAGTCGTTTCCTCACCAGGCTTAGATGGCCCCAAGAGGGATGTCCTATCCCCATGATGTCCGTGTCGTCAGACCTGTTCTTGTCCCTGGGGCAGAGAAGAGGCGACCCATGGCCTAGACTTGGGCATGGTGTAGGGGCCCTCTGTTTGACATCACTGCCCTAGAAAGTCGCCTCTCGGCCCCCGTGGGTAAGGTATTGAGGGGATGTAGGAAATGAGGAAACAGGAGCCTGATGGGGGGAGGAGGCAGAGATGGTCGCAGCATGGCAGTACAGACTGGCAGAGTGCCACGAGGCAAGGAGGAAGGTGGAAGCAGCAGCTGCTGCAGGCAGGGGACTGTGCCTCCCTCCACCCCACCTGGGGAAGAAGCACACGCGCTTCCTTGTTAGTTCCTTGGGACAAAGCCCTGACCTCCCTGTGTAAAAGCCCTGGGCACAGTGTCTGATGTAGTGGGTGCTACATAAATCCTTACCCCCTTCCCTAGTTAGGGCCCTTGGCGCATAGTAGGTTCTTCATGAATGCTTGCTGATGAATTGATTGAATTCCAGGAAGGAGAGGAAGGCCACCCCGCCCCTTTCCCGGATCCCTGCTGTTCACTAGCTGTGGGACCTTAATCATCCCTTAACCTCTCTGGGCTTCTGTTTCTATCTTTGTAAAATGAAGTGGTTTGACTAGATGATCTCTGGAGTGTTTTACAGTTCTAAATGTGTGACCACTCTCCATGATGTGACATCTCTCTGGGCCTCAGTTTCCTCCTCTGTAAAATGAGGCTGTTGGTCTAAGTAGCCTCCAAGGGACCCTTCCTGCTATAGGTCTGTGACTCTCTCATCCTACGATCCATTTTTAGACCTGTCTGCCGCTCTAGAAAAAGCAGTTGTCTGTCATCTCCTTCATTCCCCCACTCCATACCAGGCTGAACCCCTAGGCAGCCAGAAGCCACCTGCCTGGGCCCCTCAGTGAACCAGGAGATCATGGAATTAAACAACCAGAGGCCGGAGAAAGCTTCTGTGAGCAGCCTCTCCACTCTCCAGCTGAGACCTGGGGGAAAGGAGGACGGTTTCATTTTTGTCTGTGTTCCAGCTCAAATCACAATTAGGCAGGCTGATATCTGACTTAAAAAAAACTCTAGCTGTTCTTCCAGACTACACACACACACACACACACACACACACACACACACACACACACATCTATCCATCCATCTATCTATCATCTGTCTTTCTATCTTTCCATTTCTTTCTGGTTTTTAATAGGCCTCTTTTTTTTCCCTTTCCTTCTTCCTTCCTTCCTTTCCTCCTTTCTTCTTTCCTTCCTTTCTTTCTTTGTTTCTTTCTTTCTCTTCCTCCCTCCCTTTCTTCCTTCCTTTCTTGTCTGTCTTTTAACATACATTTATAAAGGATATTCTAAATGCCAAGAAGATCAGGATTAGAAGGCCTTGAAAGAGGATGATCATCTGGAGCTAAGACTTTTGGGACACTCTTTATTTGATCTGGGAGGTAACAAGGAGTCACTGGAATTTAATGAGTACATGGGTGACATGATCAGGCCTGCGCTTTGGGAAGATCACTCACAGCTGAATAAAGGATGGGCCACAGTGGGGAGAGCCTGGAGGCAGGGAAACCAGCTGGCGGCTATGGCCCCAGCCCTGGCACACACTCTGTCTCTCTCTTTCTGTGTCTCTGTCTCTCTGTCTGTATGTGTGAGTCTCTGTCTCTCTCTATGTTTCTCTCTCTCTCTCTCTCTCTCTCTCTGTCTCTCTGTCTCTCTCTCTCTCTCTCTGTCTCTCTCTCTCTCTCTGTCTCTGTCTCTCCTTCAAAGCCAAATCCTATAGAGTTGTCAGTGGAAAATCCCTCTCCTTTACATAGTTCCCAAAGCAGCAGGATATTTTGGACAAAATGTTTCTTTAACTACAACCCAATGAGATCGATAGTGGAGCCCTTATCATCCCATTTTACAGAGAAGGAAACTGAGGCTGAGAGGTGTAGTGAGGCAGAGTCAGCACTTTCCACATGGCAGAGCTGTCATCCTCTTCTCTCCCGTGGATCCTTCCCCCCACCCCACCCCACCCCACCCTCCATCAATACTCCCCCACCAGCCCATAATCTAGCTTCACATGGATTCCATTACTGGCAGATGGTACTCCAAGTGGAGAACCATTTAATAAGGACTATGGGATAGGGGAGGGAAACCAGCCCTTGGCCTTGAACCTTAGGAAATATGAGAAGGCAGATACAAACAGCCACATTCCAAACGTCAAAAAGGACCCTGACAATATTAAATCTAACCCCTTGTGACAACTTTCCATATAGGAAGAGGCCAACAATGAGTTTTATTTTAGCAATCCTGATTTTCCAGCAAAGCTGTCCAGAATTAGGAAGCCTGCATCTTTCAGCACATTTTCTTTATTTACAAAAGAGGAGGGGTGTGTTGGTAAATGTTTAACAACCAGCTCTCCAGGAAGGGGGTGGGGAAGATATGTGCATGACACACTTTTAGGTTTAACTTGCATTATTAACATTTCTCCGTCGCTTTCTTAAGTCTAGGCAATGAACAAAATAATCCTTTGAGCCCTGATTTGTTGTGTTTACTGATTTCCATGGCGGAAATAAATGCTCACATGGAAAATTTGACCATTGGCTCTCTGATATGAGCTGGCTCTAGCACACTCCTGCAAAACAGCAAGCAAAGTTGTTTTTTTTTTTAAATTTTTTTTTTCGCTAGGCAATGGAATAAAGTGACTTGCCCAGGGTCCCACAGCTACAGTGTCAAGTGTCTGAGGCTGGATTTGAACTCAGGTCCCCCTGACTAAAAAGGCCGGTGCTCTATTCGCTGCACCACCTAGCTTCCCCAGAAAGCAAAGATTTTTATATCAAATGGAGTAAGCCAGAGGTCAGGAACAGCAGGTGAGGGAGGAAGGGTAACATGACCAGGATCCCATTAATAGTTACAATGATAGCTAGCATTTATATGGAATCCTTTACAGACAGCTAGGTGGCACCATAGAGCATGGAGCCCTGGACTTGGAATCAGGAAGACTCCTCTTCCTGAGTTCAAATCCAGCCTCATACATTTACTAGCTGTGTGACCTTGGGCAAGTCACTTTACCCTGTTTGCCTCAGCTTCCTCATCTGTCAAATGAGCTGGAGAAGGAAACGGCAAACTACTCCAGTATCTTTGCCAAGAAAACCTCAAATGGGGTCACAAAGAATTGGAACAACAAAACATAGGCTCTTTTACTAATAACATAATAGTACTAATAACATAGCATTTTATGGTTTATGAAGCACTTGACAAATGCTATCTTATTTAACTCTAACAACAACCTTGGGAGGTAGGTGCTGTTCTTGTCCCCATTTTACAGTTGAGGAAACTGAGGCAGACAGAGGTTAATTGATTTGCCAAGAGTCACCCAGCTAGCAAGTATCTGGGGCTGGATTTTAATTTATGTCTTCCTGACTCCAGGCCCAGCTCTCTATACACTGAGCCACCTAGCAGTAAGGTCAGGGCAGACTCAGAGAATCCGGGGGATAAAAAAAGCGTCAAGAAAAGGGGTCAAGGAGTGATAAGGCAATAGAAGATATGTGACATAACGGATAGAATTCTGGATATATAGTCAGAGGTGGTTGTTGTTTTTCAGTCATGTCTGACTTTTCATGACCCCCTTGGGGGTTTTCTTTTTTTTTTCTTTTTTTTTTTTGTTAGTTTCTATTCTTTTTTTATTATTTTTGGCAATTGGGGTTAAGTGACTTGCCCAGGGTCACACAGCCAGCAAGTGTCAAGTGTTTAGTCTGAGGCTAGATTTGAACTCAGGTCCTCCTGACTTTGGGGCTGGTGCTCTATCCACTGCGCCACCTAGCTGCCCCCTTTTGGGGTTTTTTTTTTTTTGGCAGAGATACTAGAGTGGTTTGCGCTTTCCTTCTCCAGCTCATTTTACAGATGAGGGAACTGAGGCAAACAGGGTTCAGTGACTTGCCCAGGGTCACACAGCTAGGAAGTGTCTGAGGCTGGATTTGAACCCAGGTCTTCTAGACTGCAAGCATGGTGCTTTAGCCACCGCACCACCTCACTGCCCTATAGTCAGAACACCTGGGTTCAAATCCTGGCTCTGCAGCTTTGTAACTGTTGGGTTGGAGAAAGGACTGGACTAGATGGTTTCTGAAGTTCCTTCTCTCTCTAATATTCTCTATGATTCTATGGATCTCACCGGGTGCAATGGAAGGAGCTCTAGGCAGGGCATCAAGGGATCTAGGTTCAAATTCTGCCTCCACCACTAGCTAGGTGGCCTAAAGGAAGTCATTTCTCCTCTCTTGGCTTGGCTTCTCTTACCTGCACCACAAAGGGCTTGCATTTCGGGATCTGGGGTCCTTCCTAACTCCACGGTTTTATGCGTCTGTAAGGGCCCAATCTCCTCTTGGGCAGGATGAGTCAATAGTCGTATTAATTCATTCAAACCATTAGGATACCACTGAGCACCTTTCCAGTTTTATGTCCTAAATGACACGTCCTTTTTGCTTGCAGATGGTTGGCTCAGCAGGTTACAGCTCTGTACTAATGAGGCCAAGGTCATGGGCACGCTTCCCATGGACGCCACGAAGCAATACACTTCCTTTTTTAAACAAATTTGTCATTAATGATTTCTTCTTTCTTGGATCATTGTCATATCTCAGTGTCTCCTCCCCACCTTTGCCCTCCCTGCCCTCTCCTCATCTGCCCAGGGGAGGAGGATGCCCCATTGGAACAGGAAGTACAGCTTAGCAAAGTAAATGAACACGCTGCCCAGACTGGAAAATATGTGCCTCATTTCCACCACATTTCTGCCAAGAAGAGAGTTAATAGCATCCTACACATAGGGCTGGAAAGGACCTTAGAAGCCACAGATGAGGAAACTGAGGCCCAGAGAGAAATGACTTGTCCAAGGTCACACAGGGAGGATCACTGGATGAATTAAGAGCTAGAAGATACCTTGGAGACCATCTAGTCTGACCCCCCGGGGTTAGGCTCGATGGCCTCCAGGCCTCGTCCAGATCCAGATGTTGGATCCAGGCTCCTCTCGAACCACAGCTGGCCACCAGTCAGAGCTTGGGTGTCTCTTGGTGTGATTTTCCTTCCTCCGTTATTCTCCGGCTTTCTTTACTCCGAATCAGTTCACACAAATCTTCCCGAGTTTCTCTGAATTCTCCATTTCTCCACCATCCTTGTCATTCCCTCCAGGGAAGGTCATGTTCCCCTCACACCCCGCAGTGTGTCCAGTTATTCCCCCAACCAGGGGGCCCCTACACTGCTTTTAATTCTATTCCACCGCAGAAAACTGAGATAAATGTCCTAAATCCACTCTCAGCAGATCCCTTCCCCAAATACAGCCTCATCTGATCCATACAGTCAGGGGGGTTAAGATCCCCCCCCCGGGGGTTGGGATCTTAGACCTAGAGTTGGAAGAAGCCTCAGAGACCCATCTGATTCAACCCCCTCATTTTACAAATGAGGAAACTGAGGCCAGAAAGAGAAGTGACTTCACGCAAATAACACTAGGTAGAGCCAGAATTTGAGCCTGGTTCCTCTGATTAGAAATCCAGTACTCTTTCCTCAGTACCGTGCTGTCCCCAAGTCATTATCCTAGCGTTCTGGATGCTAATCAATAATCAATTAATCACCAAGCACTTATTAAGTGCCTACTGTGTATCAGGTACAGAGCTAGATGCTAGGGCTATAAATATAAAAATGAGACTGGTCTTGTCCTCAAAGAGCTTCCATTCGGCTCCCCTACTTCCATCTCCCTCCCACTGACCCTTGGGCTCCATCCCCTTCACTTCTATCACCTCCCTCCCAAGCCCAGCTTCACAGGTCTCGGCCATGCTACATTCTAAGTAAGGTGAGAGGTGCCGGACGTTTACTGTTTTAACTCAGGTGTGAGCCACCTCTGCATACACACGGGCGGCACACTAAAGTGGGTTAGCAGAGAGCTGGTACAGTGAGAATAAGAAAGAGGACCGGGTTCAAATCCTACCTTTGTGACCTTGGGCAAGTCCCTTTGCTTCCCTTGGCCTCAGTTTCCTCATTTGAAAACGGAAGGGGTTGGACTAGAGGGCCCCCAAGGTCCCTTCTAGATCCAGGATTGTGTTTCTATAAATCCCTTCCCCTCACGGGGCCTCAGTTTCCTCATCTGTAAAAGATAGTCTCCCAGGTCCCTCGTGCCTTGGCAGGTACAAGAGTCATGATCACTGTCTTCTCTCCCTCTTTCCCCAGTTCCTTGGCGTCACAGAGCTCTCCACCTACTGCGAAGGCTACTTCCTCAAGAATATGATGGTCCTCATTGAGAACGAGGCCTTCAAGCAGCTTTTGTACGAGAAAAACGGAGAAGCGTCGGGTCAGGACGTGCTCCAGGACTTGCAGAGGACGTTGGCAATCAGGATACAATCCATTCACTTATCCTCTTCCAAAGGCTCTATTGTATAAACCCCCGAGACAAGAGGGCACTCCAATGGGACCTCACAAGCTCTCTGGCTGCGTCAGCTTCCGACAATACACACAATTCCAACCGGCATGTTCTTGTCTGGACCCAGGAGCTGTCTCTGCTGCCCTGGCTCCTCCCGGCTCAGTGACTGTGTACAGCTCACGTGCATTCCTGACACCAAGGAGATCCTGCTGATCACTGAGTAGTGACTGGGTCCTGCTTTGGAAATCCAGGGAGGGGACCATGGAGCTGTGACCCCACTTTGAGCATCCCTTGAAGCACACCCATTTGTGCTGGGGACCGCTGATGGAAAGACACCCAACTAGCGATGGTTGGGCTTCCCAATGCCAGATGGAGCACGGTCCAGTACCCACCCCTAAGAGCATCCCTGTATGCGCCTCAGAGACTGGTGGTTGCAGGTTTAGAGAGATTCCATCATGCCTGAGAGATGGTTGGGACTGTTGCAATCGTGAGGAACAGTCTTGGCAAATTTTTAGGGGTGGGAACTTTTTAAAAAATATGTTCATAAAAAAAATGGGGTAGCCTTGTAGTTTAAAAATATATTTCTAAAAAGCTTAAAAGTTCCTTTTCAACAGAATTGTGTATAAGGATCCGAGTTTGGGATTTTTCCTCTTTTTTTTTTTAAAGGTCAAAGGTACTCCCTGTGTCAGTGCAAAAGACGAGATTTCCACCGGTGTTGTTTATCAGCTGGTTTAATCTTGCCTCGCCAACCACAGTGACACACAAGAGGTACACTGCCAACAATCACCTCCAGTTCTGCCATTGAAGAAACAATCCTGCATGCTAATTGTTATTTGGGGTTCAAACAAAGGAGCACCTTTTCCTCCTGCCCACCAAAGCCTTTGCATGGGGCTGGACCCGGGCCACACGATATCCACGCTACGTAGTTGCCAAGGATTCCACGGGACGACGTCATCTCTCGCTCCACCGCCATTTTGTGAAGCCAGGGCTGACCGTTTCTTTTCCTGGTGGAGCATCATAGTGCAATGGTTTCCATGGGATCACATTGGTAGAAACTGCATTTTGAGGGAAGCCAAGGGTGGGTTGGGGGTGGGAAGGGGCTTGTGGGAGGGAGGGAGAACATAAGAGCATTTAGCATTTATCCCAGGGCTCTCTTCTCTTCTGGTAAGATATCAGTCCTTTGCTACCGACCAGAGAGTGTGGCTATGTTAGACTATTTGTTATGACTAAATATGTAATATAGAATGATTTCCCACTACATCCCAAGAATGGACAGGCTAGGGCTCTCAAACATGGACATTTACTGCCGAGCCTCAGTTTCCTTTGCAAGTCAGTAGCTAGCAAGAGAGATGGGTGAGGGGCCACGGTGACTTCTTAGTATCTTTCACACATCCTTCTTTTGAAATATCACGACCGCAGCAAAGACTCTTCACCATTCGGGGCGATATAATGATATCACCTTCCTTCTCTCCTAGCATGCGTCTTCAGAAATTACCACCCATCCCCCAGAATCTCTGTGTCAGAAAAGCTTTCCCGTCCCTTTGTAGCGCGAGGTAATTTTTTGGTCCATTGCTCAGAATGTTTGATGTCAGTGGCCGCTTCATGTTCCCACCTCCTGGCATGCCCAGGCCGCCTGCTCCCACTCCCAGGTGTTACCCGCCCATCAGCTAGGAATCGATTTGTTGACGTCAGTGTGTCAGTCCTCTCTTATGCTTGGTCATTTGGAAAGCCTTTCAGGTTCCCTCTGAACAAAAAGGGGAGAACTCAAATTACTTCCTGCCCACCCAGGTAAAGGTCCATAGCATGTGATATGGCAGGAAGCCTCCCGCCGCGTCCGTCCGTGTCCTCAAAGATGCTGTCTGAGATGTACCGCTCCTGGTGACTTCCTGTCCTTGAATGTTAAAACGCTAGAGCAGAGCAGCCTGGCCTTGGCTTGTGTGATGGCAACCCTCCTCCCCGCCCCCCCAATGGTGTTTATGTTCAACCTTGGTGTGCTTTCTCTGTCATTAAAGCAAACATGATTTTTCCATGCTGTGATCATTTATGTGGGATGCAGCTAACCCAAGCGGCTACTGCAAAGCAGGCCTTCTCTTGATACGGACTTGAAAACCCTCCCTTGAAAATAAAAATGTTGTCCCTTCAAAATTTGTGGGAGGTGAACATGGATATAAAAGATGGAGCGGAAACAAAGCCTTCCTCCCGTTACGCAGGTATCAGGGCTTTCAGACACAGTGCCGTCCACTCTCATCCTATCTAGTCCTCAGTCAAGTTAAGTCAGCGAGCGCTGATTTAGCATTTACGCTGCGCTAAGCCCTGAGGATTCAAAGAGAGGTTAAAAAAAATAGTCCGTGCCACCAAAGAGCTCACAGTCCCATAGGGGACACAACATACAAATAATTATGTATAGGCAAAATCAATTCAGAGTAAATGGAAGGTGAGTCCAGAGGGAGAGCCCTAGTGTGGGTGGGTGGGCGAGTCAAGGCCTCCCGCGGAAGGTGGGATTAGAGTGGATTCTTGAAGGAAGCGAGGAGGCAGAGGTGAGGAGAGAAAGCATTCCAGGCAGGAGGGGAGACATCAAGGAAAAGGGAGGGATGTTGAGGAACAGGAAGAAATCCAGTGTCCCTGGAACGTAGCCTATGTGGAGAAGAACATGAAGGGTAAGGAGACTGGAGAGGTAGGAAGGGCCAGGTTCCCAAGGGCTCAAGCGTCAATCAGAGGGTTTTATACACAGTGTCCCATAAAAGCTTAAAACTATAGGAATATTTTTGGGACACTGTGTTTGATCTGGGAGGCAAAAAGGAACCCCCAGAATTTAATGAGAACGGCGGTGACAGGATCAGACCTGTGCTTTGGGAAGAACACTCCGACAGTTGAATGAATAGAGGACGGCCTGCAGTGCGGAGCCTCGAGGCAGGGAAATCAGCTGGTGGCCATAGGATCCAGACACAGGATGATGAGAAATCCCCACAGATGGACCGATGAACCAATGAATGTGTAGAGCCCGGGGCTGGGCACACACTGGGGACACAATAAAGCCTGTCTTTGGGTAGCTTACATTTTTAAAAGGGGAGAAAGCACATACAGGAAGAGGTGGCCAGGGAAGGGAGCTTTAGGCTGGGGAGTCATGGAGAAGTAGGGGGCATTACTGACCCACCTTTCCAGTAACAGATGGCCATAATGATTAGATTACATAATCAACCAATCAGCAAGCATTGATTAAGAGCTTCTTGCTATGTGCTATGCACTCTGCTAGGTGCTAGGGATATACTCCCCACCCCATAAAAAAAATACAAAAAGCAAAAGTCTGCCTTGCCTTCAAGGAGCTACAGAAGAAATAAGCATCAGCCAAAGAGAAAGTCCATGAGCTACGGCAGTATTGAAGAGGATAGCTTCTTAATAAAGACAAGGCACATTTTCAGATACTCTTTAACAATTAGGTCCAGTGAGATTTCCATGTGGCTCCATGATGCATCTTAGCAAAGACAGGCCAAATGATTTGTCCAAGGTCACACAGGAGGGAGCCAAGATTCCACCTCAGATCCTTTACTTGAGCCATTTTCCAGCTCGGCCCCACACCACCCAACACTTCACCACAGTAGAGCCAAATTCAAACCCAGCTCCCGTGCCTCCTGATCCACGGCTTTTGAAGCTGTAACATAGCGGCCCCTCCATCATCGACCCCAGGAGCCTGGGAGCAATGAGCCTTGTGTCTCCCCCAGCCTCTGCTGGTCCTCCCACCCAGGGGGGCAAGCGAGCAGAGGCATGCCAAGCAGAACCGAGCTGAGCAAAGAAAGGCAAGTATGTGGAGGTGGTAGATGCGGACCCTTTGGGAACATCCCAACTGCTCCCAGAGGAAGGACTCTAGGGAAACACTGAGGAGCCAGCGTCAGCCTTCTTCTCCAGGAGATGCTAATGCAGCCACATGTCCTGGGGCCAGGACATTCTAGGCTGTGCCCCAGGAAAAACCTAGGGGTGTGATTTATTTTTCATAGTGAATCTCTCTATGGAAGCCTCTTGGGAGAGTGGGTTGCTTTGTGTATTTCTCAAAGATGAATTGTCAATCACTTCCCCATGGGGGAGGGCAGGAATGGAGGGAGTATAGACATGACACATTTAAGCCTTTTGATTCTAAGACTGTTTCTCCAAGCTTAAGTCACAAGTCCTATCATCTGTGTGACAGGGCCCCCTAGTGTCTTGGGCTAACCCTGATCCCCCATTATGTTCCAGCTCATTTTTAATTAATTCTAACTCAATTCAACAAACATCAATCAGATACCTACTGTGTGCAAGGCAGAGAGTCAGCCTGGCATGAAGGAGAGAGGGCCAGGCTTGGAGTCAGGAGCCAGAGTGGCAGTGTGGGCACAGCTGGCTTCAGAGGGGAGACTCGGGTTTGAATCTTGGCCCTGCTGCTTGGTACTAGGGTGCCCTCTCTGGGTCTCGACTTCCTCGTCTACCAAATGCTGGCCTGCAAGGTCCCTTCCAACGCAGAATCTATGACCTAATGACGCAAGACCTTGGCTCTACCTTCTAGCTCGATAACCTTGGGCCTGGCCTCTCATTCCAGCTCTAGATCTGTGCTCCTACAACCTTAGTTGTGATTCTGACCCTGCTACCCACCTAATCCTGGGCAGGTCACTTCATCTCAATGGACCTTGGTTTCCTTCTTTGTCAAGTGAGGGGGACCAGACTCAATGTCCACTGGTGTGCCTTCCAACTCTAAGCCTATGGGCCTAGGACCCAAAGAGATCTTGATTTGATTTCATGTATTCTAGCTTTATAACCTTGGAGATAGGGTGGATAGGGTATCTCAACCACCGAGCCACTGAGGAGTTTTTGCCAAACATCCCCGTCTGACACAAAGTGGAAAGTTCCACCGTCATTCCATTTGTGCCTTGGAACAAGTACATTTGGTTCTCCACTCCAAACCCCCTCCCTCCCTAGGAACCCAGACTGTCAAAAATCTTTTCTGGGAAACAGGATGGAGAATCACTGCCAGCTTTCCAAGCCCCCCCCCCACCAGCCCCCCAGGGCCAAGGCAGCACGTGCCTTAGAAGCCAGCCAGCCCCAAGCAGAAGCGGCTGTGAAGGCCTGGCTTGTCAAGCCTTAAAAATAATAATAATAACAGAGTCAATTTTAAACTTCCTGCAGAAAAAAAAAGGAAAGCAAGCCCACCCTGCAATCACACGAAACGGGATCTCTCATTACTGAACAGGCAGTCATATTATTAGCATCCCCAGGAAGGACAGACCTCTAAGTTTAGCTCTGGATTTGAAAAGTCAATCAGCTAGCATGAATAGAGAATTAGCAGAGGTGCCTGAGGCTGTTTATTTGGGAACTGTTTACCTTCCATTGGTTCCTAGAGTTTATGGAAGAGATGGAAAGAGCTGAGCCAATGGAAAGAGGTTAGGATAGAGTCAGAGGACCTGGGTTGGAATCTCAATTCGGCTACTTTCTACCTGGGTGACTCTGGCCAAGTCATTGAACCTCTCTGGGCCTCAGCTTCCTCATCTGTTAAATGGACTCAAAAGCCTCTCATAATCCTTCCAGCTTTAAATGCATGATTCGATAATCCTATCTGTGTGACCTTGGGCAAGTGACTTCTTATCTCTGAGCCTCAGTTTCTTCATTTGTCAAGTGAAGGAGCTAGACTCCAGAACCGAAGAGAGTACTTCTAGCTCTGAATCCATAATCCTATTCATCCAGAGGTCCTTAACCTTGTTTTTGTGCCATGGACCCCTCTGGCATTGAGCCTGGTAAAGCCTACAGACTGCTTCTCAGAACTGTGTTTTCAAATGCTTAAAACAAAATACATAGGATTACAAAGGAAGCCAAATACGGTGAAAATAAAAGCACATTTTTCCCCATCCAAGTTCGTAGACCCCTTGAAATCAGCCATGGGCCCCAGGATGAAAATTCCTATTTTAATCAGTGAGTATTTACCAAGCACCTACTATGTGCCAGGTTCTGGGCTAGGTGCTGGAGGTCCAGATACAAAGAATGAAACAATCTCAAGGAGCTTCTAGTACCTTCTCTCCATACAACCCGATTCAGCCAACATTAATGAAACAACCA